GAAAAGCATGATCGATAAGAATGGAGACTATTTCATTTATAAATGTTTTGTTTGATATATAAGTTGTTCGGATTTTTCTTTTAAAAAAAGCGACATTAATTTCTTGACGACCTAATATAAGCGACCAAACTAGCACAAGTTAAGAGCAGTTAGCGAAAGAAAACGTGAAGTTAGCTGGCGTATGTGTGATTAGCCATAACAGGCGATATTTTAAAGTGAGTTTTACAGTTTAATAGAAATAAGGAGAATAATTTGTCTTGTCAAAGAGTGTTCTAAAATAATTGAATCCGTCTGTTTGGACTTTGACGAAAAAGAAACAATTATTTGAAGTTAAGGATACAACTGTGGTAGCCCACGGGGTAACATAAGTTAACTATTCACCGATACCATTGTGATAAGAGCAGAGAAAAATGGTTTGTCTTGTCAATTGAATTCTAAACTAATTGAATCAGCCTAAGTGGACTTTTGACAAGAAAAGAGAATTATTTAGAGCTTGAGATACAACTGTGATATCCATAGTGTAAAGAATTTTTTGTACATAGTTTGACTTGTTTTCAATATATTATTTTAAAACAACTGGATTGTGCGCTGTCCGTTTACTGTTCGAAGTTATCGCCAACAAGTTACAGACATCTACTGTAGAAGAATCCAGCTCCGTATACATATTTCAAACACTGACAAAAAGTATGTTCAAATTCATATTCAACCATAATTAGATCAAACAATGGCCATTACAAAAACGAAATAACGCTGAAAAAAGTTGTATTAGTCATGAAAGTTTTCTGTTGGAAATGAAACATTACCTTTTAGAAATTTTATGTAATGTTATTTATAATATTTTCATTACCAATAAACGTTTAAATGATGTTAATGATAATATTTTAGAATCTTCTGTTCTTTCAAAGAATAATTATTTTTGAAACTATGTTTCATGTAAAAGTTTTACTTGCCTTTGCTGTTAGGTTTTTACTTTGTTTCTCACTTGCATTCATCATTGCCGACACCTCCACCTGGTGAGAAAACAATTTATGATATTTGACTGTCCATTGATATAACTTTTGCAAATGTTGATTCTATTTGAAATATGAATACCACTTTGAAAGTCAAAACATGCAAAACTATATTATATGTTAAGGAATATTAAAAACAAGTTTGGAATATCAAAGATTTGGCGACATAAAACTTGCGGCTGTTGATAAAGTACAAAATCTGGTAACAATGAAAACTAGCAAAAATTTATGTTGGATCAAAACACGTCGAAAACATTTCTAACAAAGTGAACCTAGGCTAATGAAGATGGTGTTTACTCGAAATATCGCAGTATCGCAAGAAAAAAGATAGCCTTGTAGAAATGACAATAAAGAGATGTGTTTTATTTTATTTTTCACGGCATTAAGAAATATATTTGACAGTATGTTCCACTTTGCGTAGTTTCTGCTACATCACACTCTGCTGCCTACAGAATTAAACAAGGAGAATGGGACTTAATAAAGCGTGAAACTTTACAAAGCAGAGTATAAATTTTCGCTATGTTTCGAGCAACCACACTTTGTCAAGCTTAACAGGATCAGACCGTGTATAGCCTGACAATGAGACCTGCTCAAGAAAGGAAGTGTTTCATTTCATCTAATTCGGTTTTATTATCTTAAGTCCCATCCTGAAACTCTTAACGTCACGCGGATTCTATTATTAATGATACGACTGTATTACGCCGCCTGCGAAAACCAATCAAGAAAAAACATAAAAAAATCAACACTAGCTGTTATTTTGCTCTGAATGTGGCCTTTGAGAACTTGTGCGTTCTCTATATTTTTAAAATGTTAACACAACTTTAGAGTGTTTAATGTTTTCCCCCTAAGCATCACAGTGTCAGTGACGATGTTATTCACAAGTCATTCAGGAACCCCCCCCCCCACAAAAAAACAAAAAACAACATTTTTATGACAAGCTAATGAAAGTACAAAATGATCAACAGAAATACATTTATGATTTATTCACCCTTAGGGGCTATAACGTGAGGAATGTTCTGCATAAACATTCAAACATAGACTTATACAGCATTTACAAATTGTAAGATACGACTGATTTAATATATAGTGTTACAACGTATAAGACTGTAAGATAGAGTTGAGCATGTATAAAAGCGCTTCTATCTACATTTTGTTTTCTGACAAAAACTGATACAGCATACAAAAGCTGTGCGACACGCCTCATCAACTCGACATGAAAGCCAGTAAAACTTGTGTTCTAAAACAAAGTAAAACATAAAAAGGTTGTAAACTACGCTTGATCCAACACGAAGGCAAAGTACACCGCATACAAAGATTCAGGCTAGGCCAAATGCAACGACAACATTGGATACAAGTTCAACAAGAATACCTAAACAAGTGATATACAAAGGTTGTACACTATGACTAATCAATTACACACATGGATAAACAACGTACAAAATCTCAGCAAGATAGGCGTAATTTAACTTGTATTAATCAGCACATTATATGGTTGAGAGACATGTCTGACCTCATACAATCATCAATACACTATACAAAAGCTGTGAGATACGTATAACACAACACATATCTCAGCACACAACTACAACACCCTACAAGCTGTAATACATTATACAATATACGACAGGATCTAATATTTGATCTAACATATAAAATGCACCACTGAACAGACTGTAATATTTGGCTTAACATAAATCATTCAACAAATTACAGGTTGCAATTCTTAGTTTAATATACGACATGAAACACCATGTAATTGTAAGACTTCATAAATTTACGTCATGCAACATTTTACAGACTCTTGGTGTAACAGCAAATATCCAAAACCATACAAGTTGTAAGAGTTGATTTAAGATACAACATTATTCATGTTGTGATACATGACCTAATATGAAACACAATACAGGTGATTTTATCCACGATATGTAACGCTCTATAAGTTGTAGCACTTGATCTAACATGTAACATGCAACACGGTACAGGTGGGAATGCGTGACCTAATCCACAGTATGTAACACCTTATATTTTGTAACACATTATCAAACATAAAAACATCAAACACCCTACTGATTTTAATACTTGACCTTACATTTAACGTCTAATACCCCACAGGATCACATACACGACAAGCAACACCCATCAGGCTCTATCACCTGATCTGTGCAATGCGAAAAGTATCAAGAGCTTTATCCTCAAACATAAAACAATTTAATTCATTTTCATTTACAAACTAGATATTTTTGTTGTTGTTTGTTTGTTGTTCAGCACAAAACTACACAATAGGCTATCTGTGCTCTTTGATTTGTTTTGAATTACGCGCAAAGCTACACGAGGGCTATCTGCGCTAGCTGTCTCTAATTTAGTAATGATAGACTAGATAGAAGGCAACTAGTCAACACCACCCACCGCCAACTCTTGGGCTACTCTTTTGCCAACGAATAGTGAGATTGATCGTCACATTATAACTCCTCCACGGCTGAAAGGGCGAGCATGTTCGGTGACGGGGATTCGAACCCGCGACCTTCAGATTGCGAGTCAAGCGCCTTAACGCCAGAATCCATTTGTGCTCTGCTCAACACGAGTATCCACATCAGATTTTTAGCGTTATAAGCCCCCAATCTTACTGCTGAGCCATCGGGGGCCGTACAAGATAATACAATATATTGTAAATAATTAATATATATTAACTACGTTAAATCTAGTAAAAGAAAGAGAGAGACATAAAATGGCAAAAAAGGAGAATGCTTATTCAAAATGCGTCCCATCTGACAGGAAAAAAATATTAATAATTTAAAAAAATGAAAAGAAACATTTATAAAAGTACAAAAAATGATAAATGTATTATATTAGATACAACTAACTGACAATAATATCATAATATATATTTTTCATTAAATATAAAAATAAGCAAATAAGTTATACATTTGATAAACAGTTTTTGAAACATAACTTAATTTTCATTTCTCTTATATTTTTGGGTACAGCATTCCAAATTTTCCCCCCTAATAAGTTGTTGAACATTGACCTGTTGATTTAAAAAAATGATATGCAATAATTGTAATATCATGACATTGAATATTTTGTTATTTTTATATTAAAAAGTGCTTAAGGCTGGGTATAGTAATAACTTTTATCATAAACATAAAATTACCTACTAAATAATCATTTATTTCATAAATGGTTAATATTTTGTTTTTATGAAATTG